AAAGCGGACAGCCAAGCGTATTCATGTACAAGCTTGTGGAGCATGAAGATCTTATTAAACAGCATTATGGGTATTCGTAACGATATGGATATCTCAGCATGAAAACAGTGAAAACAACCTTGGGAGTAGATCACTCTTTTCCCTCTCTAAATGCACCTTCGGACCGAAGAACGCTCTTGGTTCCAAGCACCACTCTCCTTCCGTTCAGTGTACATATTCATGGCCTGACCGTGTGTGTATTTCCAACGAACTCTGGAGCTTGGTGGTAGTATGGCTGGCTCATGGGGTCGGCATTTTGACCATATTGTTCCATGTGAGCAGGCTTGCGCCAGGATGCGTGTTTTGCAATGCAAAGGATGAAGATGCAACTAAGGGCTTGAGCAAAGTTGATAACATAGCTCAGGGCAATTGACGTCGAGTATGTATAGCTCGTGCGTTCAAGGGACCATGCCGCGAAGACGATGAGGAGGATGACCCAGAGCATCATTGCCATGGTGAGAGCGACCGACCATCCAATCAAGTCCTGTTGTAAGCACACGTTAGCATTGTGACTGAGTGTGCAACAAATTTGCGACTTACTCCGCCTGCTTTTCCTACCTTTCGCAAGGACATGATAGTCATGAGCGCCAGACTGCCGGAGGCGATAACGGTGACGAAGTACAGCGTGTAGTATGCTACGTTGAATTTTTGTTGCGAAAGCAATAGCTTGCGGTAATCGTAGTAATCAGAAAAGAAAACGTCGCTGCTTTTTTGCATGTCGATAACGTAGGCCCTCAACCCAAGCAAACCACAAGTTAGTAAACCCATGAATCCAGCGAGTACGGCTGGTAGAATCTTCAAGATGGCATTCCTGTGATCGAGCTGCTGTTGTAGCATGGTGTTCAAAGTAAATACGACGACAACAAGCAGAAGGATGTCTAAGGGAGGGAAATAAAGTTAGTGCAGGTTCTGAACGATAGGCTCAGAATGTAAGTTCGAAGACGTACTATGATTTTGTCAGTGAGATGTAGCAGGATGGGGAAAATACTCGTGAACTGTCTCTTGTAGGCTGTATCTATTGGTATCAAAGTGTCGCTGCTGATAGCATACAAGGCCACATTGAGGGACTGTTCACGTTCTGCACAGGGGGTTTCTTACCATGATATCAACACGAAAACGATGATCGCGATTTGCCAGTTAATGTAGCTTGTGATGTCTGTCACTTCGCATTGCTGAAGCACAGTTGCGATGATTGAGCATGCGCAGGATCTTCGAAGCATCAGTCTTTCATCTTGGAAAATGTTGTATTAGGCGGCACTCACAGGAGGAAGAATAATATGGTACCAATGTATGGCAAGCCGAGAAGTTTCTTTCCTGCTACGCTTTTCTTACGGAACGAGCAAAGTGCGAGAGCGATTCCGAGGAAGATTACGAAGAAGACTACATCGTTTGCGAAATTTGCTTGCTCCTCGGTTGTGGTGAAAGCGTTCGGGCAAGTGTTCGAGCTTCCACCACTGCTAAAACTACCACCACCGCCGCCGCGCTTAGGTGCCATGTTTGTGTATCTTAATGTTCAATACGGATGTGGTACTTGGAAGGGTGTCGGAACGAGCCACGAAATAATGGGTTTGTAGACTGGAGTCGTGAACAACAAGCCTCGAGCACTTCGGGCGCACGCTTGGTCTATAAAGTTGCATTCCTTCTCAGATGATCCTATTTTTGTGCACAGCCCTACCGCTCCTGCAGTCCTTCGTGTATTCAATCTTTCCCGTCGAATCACAACCAGACTTCAGTGGGGCTGAGACCATGCCAAGGATTTGAGGCGCTTTTCATTAATTTTAAATGGCCAGCGGTCGAAGATCAAGCATGGGAGGGAGCAAGGCTGAGGTGGGACGCCTAAAGCAATTCAGGGTCGCGACCACGATGCCAGATTCATCATGGATAAGATGAGACCCGAGCGACATGTAACAGGCCCGAATGCGAAAAGTGCGAGGTCACCGGTGAATAGGCTGCATGTCACGCGCCGAATCATTGGCCTTGACATGGGATCGGCGCCGCGCACAACAAGCCAGTGCTTCAAATAGGAGCGCCTGACGCTCATGTGGAAATTTGAAGCGTGACTGGATTGTGCAGAGCCCAGACGTGTTATGGTGTGACGCATCTACGCTTTTCATGTTATCTTGGCGCGACTGCACGTGATGTGGCTGGTGAGCTTGAGGACATCGGGGTTCCTGAGGCGTTGCGCGATCTGCTGTTGCCGACTTCCGTACTTGAGTGACATCACAACCTCTGTATTCGCGACAACATCCATTGCTCGCGGCCCTTTCCACTCGCGGACCGGACTGTCCGGATCTAGGGTCGTGTGAGCTTACATCGCTGCCTATCGTATCGCTTTAGCACAACTGTACAAATATCGTCTCGCGGTACTTGGAGCTTTTAAAGGAAGCTCGACCCACGTCACGGCCTAAGACTTTCGCAGGGGCCCTGGTCTCTCCACTTCTTGACAAGTTTCGCGGAAGGAATAAATACAGGCAACGCCACAATGGATCGTGAAGAGACTGCGACCCATTCGGGTAGCTCGAAGCCTGATTTGACTTCGATAACAGATGGTAAATCAGCCATGTCGCAAGCATTCCAAGGGCTTTCGAGCAGACCAACGCTGGATACTCAAGATACATGGACCCCGGATCCTTCCTCGGACATGTCAGACGTCGATGACCGCAGTCGATTGAAGCCACTATCAAGACACAGCAACCCAGATGGTCGAAGCACAAGTACCACTGCAATTCCTTCGGATGGAGGTAGTGTAGAAGAGATGGATGAAGAAAACGATGGTGAAACAAAGATTGGAAATCGAAGAACGAGCATACAGGTCGTTGTGGAAGACACAGGCAAAGAAAGCAAATACACGGTCACGACTGATGACCCAGACTTCAGAGAAGTCATGCGCTCTGCAATGCAGCGGGAAGCCGAAAAGCGCAGTGGTGGCAAGTCAAAGAGTCGGCCACGAGAACTTCTTTTCACGAGGCAGTACACCGCGTTCGATCGCAAGAATCCGAAATCACAGTCTCCGTTCCATGGTTTCTTCACCCTCTTCTGGATATCAATGGCTCTGCTGCTCATGAAAATTGCAGCGTGGAACTACAAGACTCAAGGCTCTGTGTTTGGCCGTGCAGAAATCCTGCACCTGATGGTGGACCGAGACCTCTTTGTTATGCTCACCACCGATGTATCGATGTGCGCTGCGACAAGCTTTGGCTTCTTTTTGCACAAGGCCATCACAAGAGACTACTTGACATGGAACGGGTGGGGCTGGATCATACAATCATTGTGGCAAACTTTCTTTACTGTCACTGTGATCTGGGTTACATTTTGGCGAGAGTGGCCATGGACACACACTGTGTTCATTGTGCTGCATGTCTTTGTTTTGCTCATGAAACAGCATGCTTACGCTTTCTATAACGGATACTGTAAGTCAAGATATCAGCTTGCAAGAGGGCAATCTAACGATTTCAGTATCCCGAGTGTATCGACGGCGCAACCTCTTGCAGCAGAAGCTCGAGCAGCTTGACAAGATGAACTCGCACCAGGATCCTACTCCTGAATCTACAGCAGCTCGAACAACCAGCCTGGATGATCCTGCATCTCGACAGCTTACCAAGCGCCGCAATTTGGGTCCCAAATACTCTACCAACTTAGCAATTGAAGTGTCAGACATTGCAGCGATCAGTCAAGCAATTGAAGCCGGACAAACACTAGATGAAGAACAAATCCAAATCTTCCGAAAAGTCCTTAACACCGAGATTACCATTCTGGAAGAAGAACTGCGTGGAAAATGCACAACGACCGACAACGTCTATCCCAGCAACATCACCCTTTATAACTTTGTTGAATGGACTTGTCTCCCTACCTTAGTTTACGACCTCGAATACCCCAGGCAAGACCACGTGAACTGGTGGTACGTCGCCGAAAAGTCCGCCGCCACACTCGGTGTCATCTGGGTCATGATTATTGTTTCGCAAGCCTACATCTACCCGGTCGTCGTGGAGACCGTCCGCCAAAAAGAGACAGGCATGTCCCTCGACGAGCGCTGGAAAGAATTCCCATGGGTCGTGAGCGACATGCTCTTTCCCATGCTGCTCGAGCAACTGCTATCGTGGTATGTCATCTGGGAATGCTTACTCAACGTGCTCGCAGAGATTACGCGCTTTGCGGACCGCGGATTCTATGGTGACTGGTGGAATTCTATTTCTTTCGATCAGTATGCGAGGGATTGGAATCGGCCGGTGCACAATTTTCTGTTGAGGCATGTATATCATTCCTCGATTTCGTTTTTCCATCTGTCGAAGATGCAGGCGACATTCTTTACGTTTTTGCTGAGCGCTGTTGTCCATGAGGTCCTCATGTTCTGCCTTTTCAAGAAGGTGAGAGGATATCTGTTCACGTTCCAGTTGACGCAGCTGCCGCTTGCTGCATTCATGAAGACGAAGATGATGAGGGGACAAGATACGTTGGGGAACATCATTTTCTGGTTTGGACTCTTCATCGGTCCAAGTGTCATTACTAGCTTGTATTTGATAGTTTGAGACAGAAAGCTTCACACGGAGTCATGGAAGGCAAATAGTTGTATGATAGCAAGACGGCGTGAACGTATATAATACAAAGACGATCGCCTCACTGGCATAATACACAATTCGTTCCTTCGATAGCGTAACTGGCAAGTCAAGTAAGCCATGTTTTATCAATCATAAACTGCATCAGTGGAGCAGGTCTAGAGTGTGGCAGAAATGGGCAGCGAAGGCGTTGACAATCCTAGTCTGCGTCCCAGACGGTTCCGAGCAATATTCAGTGGTTCTAAGGTGTTAGTCCGTGGCTGAAAATAGTGCAAAAGGTGGCAGCTGCTATATCACCAACGAGCAATGTCCTGGCACGTGACATGAGCCAAAAAATGCAAGCCACCCATCATGGGTAACAAAAGCAATCGTATCAAATACGATACGAGCGTGATATTCATGACTATCAGGTCTTGCCCGGATTCGAACCGGGGTCGCCGGAAGACTCTGAAATGTACAATCAGAATCCGAAGTGATGACCGCTACACTACAAAACCAAGTACATGAGGCCAATGAGGCTTCATTGGCTAAGCATTGAAAGATTGTAGTCGAGTATTGTGTATATATAGGTGTTGAGTGTATTCGTAATATAGTAGAGTGATGGTTTTGAATACTGGGTGTAGCGTCGAGGAGTGGGGTTGGTGTTGAAAATTTGCGAAGTGTCATGTACAGACAAGACGAGCTCCACTTCGACCACTTCCAGCTTTCTTCAATTAGCATCGCAAGTACTGGACAGTAGTGACGCTCAATGCACGACCTGACAGCGCGTCCGTCTTGTGCACTTCGGTGCCTCGTTCCCTGGCTTACAACCTCGCGCGAACCTCATCCTTAACAACCATTCCATACTTGCCGCTCTTCTCCTTATCCCTCAAGACTCTCCTCAAAATCTTCCCACTAGGACTCTTGGGGATCTCATCGATGAACTCAACCTCCTTGACCCACTTGTACCGCACCTTCTTCTCTTTCACATACGCAATAATCTCTTTACCGATTGCGGTACTCTCTTCAAGGCCGGGCTTGAGTGTGACGTACGCCTTGGGTAGCTCGCCGCTGTAATCATCCTTGACACTCATGACTGCCACGTCTTCGACCTTTGGATGACCGAGAAGTAAATCTTCTAGTTCTGCGGGCGCAACACCGATACCTTTGACTTTAATGAGCTCCTTGATGCGATCACTGATGTGGATCATGCCCTCCTCATCGATGGCGCCGCGGTCACCAGTGTGCAGGAAGCCATCCTTGTCGAAAGTGTCGTTGGTCGCTTTTTCATTGTTGAGGTAGCCCATTACGACTTGCGGGCCGCGAGCGAGGACTTCGCCGTCCTCGCCGAAATCTCCTTCCGTGCCGTCATCTTTAATGATCTTGACCTCGGTCGATGCAACGATGGCACCACCGGAGTGAGCGTATTTGTATGAGAACTTGGAAGGAGGATGTGCGGTGATACAGCTACAAGATTCTGTCATGCCATAGCCCTGCTTGAACCCGGTGTTTGGGAACTTCTTCTGGAGCTGCTGGATGATCTCTTCTGATAATGGAGCAGCACCTGAAGAGAACCGGGTGACATGGCTGAGGTCGTACTTGTCCACAATAGGATCTCGAACCAGCCTGATCAGAATTGGGGGCACCAGGAGAAGCTCGGCAAGCTTGTACTCGACAATGATGTCCAGCATTTTTTCCATGGTAAACTGTGGTAGCATGATGACTTCGGCATTTAGCAATACAGGTAGGTGCATTTGGTGGACAAGACCTGTGATATGGAAAAGTGGCAGTACTGCCATAATCTTCTTCTGCGTTTCCGGCGTGATCTGTTGGATTTGCAGACATTGCGCAATGACATTCTGATGTGAAATCATAACAGCTTTTGGCAAACCAGTCGTGCCAGAAGAGAAGGATAAAAAGCCACAGACATCTTTATTCTTCTGGCCAGGTGCAAGTTTGAAGGCAGGCGTCTGATTCGAGTCACCGTATGACTCTCCCATGCGGATCAGATCCTGCACAGTCGTGTATCCAGGAAGTTCGCCTTCGAGCAAGAAGACATTTGCTTGAGGCAAACCAGCAGCTTTGGCACTTGCTGCAGCAATTTCCATACTCGCTGGTGTAGTCATCAGAAACTTTGCGTCTGCTGTCTTGAGAGCAAAAGTCATCTCTTCAATGTTGTAGGCAGGACTGGCTCCACTGATTTTTGCTCCCACTCGAAGACCAGCAAACATTGCTACGGGGTACCAGACAGTATTCTGACTGAACAAAGAAACGGTTTCGCCTGTCTTGAGCCCATATTTCTTGGTCAATGCGGTGGAAATGTATGTCGAGTACTTCTTGACATCTGCCCAGTTGACGCGCTCCTTGGTAATTGCATTTTGGAATCCAGCAAGCCCGTCTGGTTTACAATTGTTGATGGGCGAATATGCAGAGTCGAACAACCAGTCCCAGTCAGTCAACTCGGTTGGTACTGATTGCTGTCAATCCAGGCACGTACTGTCCTAATATAGAAAGCTTACGGTCAATGGGAGGTTGTCTAGACTTGAAGATGACCATTATGGCGTTCTATGCCAGAATGATGTGCGGCTGCACCTCAAGTAGTGTGATAGGTGAGCTTATCTTAAAGCAAGACCTGGCGAAATACTATCTTGAAGACGGTATGGTGAGGGATGGGATTAGTCGAGATCAAGGAGGGTGAGAGCATTTGGCCATCCGTCCACCAGACGTAATGGAGCTACCCATCCTCGGCGCACGCATCATGCTCGGATTCGTGGGAGTCGAGTCGATGATGAAGCGGGGATAAGAGGTAGAGGCGGGGTTGGCAACGCAACTACACCCGAACTGGTTCGGATCGGGAAAGATCGACGCTAGATGCATTTCAGATCAAAGATGTCAACAGAGCCGCATCCGTTGTACTACAAGCTGTCATATATGGTTGAAACTAACAGGGGTTCTTGGAATAAAGCGGATTATATACGAGCATACTTACTCGTGTCAAAGCTATATTGTGATCGCTGCGCTACGATAAAAGTCACCAGACGACGCCCTCAATCCAACTGAGGCTCTTGTCACGACTGCAAGGCTTACAAATTTGTTCAACACCATGACGAATATGGGAAGCGACGACAAGCTCAAAATCACGTTGATCGGCACAGGCACCATCGGTCTATCGTTCGCCGCGTTCCATCTCTCCAGCCCTTTCCCTTCTCAGCTTACCATCTACGACACAAGACCAAACCTATCAGCCTACATTCGAGAACAATTGCCCAAATTCTTCGAGGATACGGAAATATCTCTTGATATCTCTACAATCAAGCTCGCCAGCACACTCCAAGAAGCCGTTACCAACGCCGATATCGTGCAAGAATCTGGACCCGAGAACCTTTCAATCAAGCAAGAACTCTGGAAAAAGATCGAAGAACACGTTTCACCGGATGCTCTACTATGGAGCAGCACAAGCGGCATCCCAGCCTCTCAACAAGCCGAATACATGCAAGACAAAACGCGATTACTCGTCGTGCATCCCTACAATCCACCACACATCATGCCTCTACTTGAGCTCGTCCCATCGCCACAAACTTCAGACCAAGTAATTACCAGGACGCAAAAGTTCTGGCGCGAAAGAGGAAGAGTACCGATTCATATCAAGAAAGAGACTACAGGATTCGTAGCTAACCGACTTGCATTTGCGCTGCTGCGGGAAGCTATACATCTTGTTGACGAGGGCGTTGTATCCGTCGAGGAGCTCGATCAGATCGTCCAATCGAGTATGGGTCCACGGTGGGCTGTGGCTGGCCCATTCAAAAGCTACCACGCTGGAGGGGGGCCTGGGGGCTTAGAGGGATTTTTCACGAACATAGGTGGGACGGTGCAGGCGTGTTGGGATGATGCGGGCAAGGTCAATGTAGGGGATGGATGGGAGGAAAAAGTGTTTAAGCAAGCGAAAGAGACATATGGAACAGTGGATGTAAACGAGCGAGATCGGCTTACGCGGAGCTTGTTGGAGGTGTTGGAGGGAGAGAAGAGAGGAGAAGAAAAGTGACGGGGGTCCTTTGTAACCAACATGTTGTGTCCGCAGACGTACAACAATTACATTTAGCTGTAGCAGGGCGAGAAACGATGGCAAAATTGAACTTTGACGAGATTCTGCATCGAAAATATATGAGAGTCTGGGACAGAGAGCTTCTTGAGGTTGCACCGTAGTGATATGAGTCGGCATCGTTGTGCCAGACATGAACGTCCTCTTGTGTGCACCTTCTCCACTTGGAGTGGGCAGTGATCCGGAGGATTGTAGTGTGGAAGGGGACCACACAATGATTACGCAATTGATGCAGCATAGATACTACTAATAGCTTTCCCTCCTTGCTGGCGAGTCTCAAGAACAATATTAAGCAGCGACAGGGTGACTCGCCTCGGATGCGATGGATGAAGAGTCAGCCCATGGAGCGTTTGATTATCTATGTATGCACAATAGCCTTATAAATCAATCACATAGCAAGACACAATCACATAGCAGGACACATGACGTTTCTATGATATAGACAAGTCTTTGATTCTTATGTATCAATCGCTACACCAAACCACCCCTCAATACCCTTTCCAACAAAGGTCTCAAATAGAAGTTATACACAAAAGATGTCCTCAAACCCTGTGATCGCCACACTTGCGTGCATTGGCGTCTAGTATGATGTACCCAGAAAGTTTCCCAACCCGACCCATATACAAGAAATTTTGTGATTCTGTACACAGCGCCGTGAAAAATGCACAAACGCCCCTGAACCTTATAGTCGTCACAAATACATGCATCTTCTACTCATTCGCTTAGACCCAAGTAACAAGACTTAGTACGAAGCGTAAACCTCGCCAACCTTGCTAAGTCCGCTACCTGCGTTGAGCTGGTTCTCGCCGGTGCCGACCATGAACCAGGAGTAACCCTGGACCTTGTCGGAAGCATCCATGTACTCCATAGCCTCCTTGAGGAAGCTAGCGGCCTGGTCCTGGGATGCGGAGCCGGGGTTGAGGCCAAACTCGGTGACCCAGACGGGCTTGCCGTAGATTTCAGCGGCCTTCTCGACCTGCGCCTTGAAGCGGGTGATAGTAGCAGCCTCGTAGATGTCGTAGAAGTGGATGTTGGTGGCGTGCACGACGGCATCGGGGCAGGCGTCGTGGAAGTTGGAGAGCCAGCTGGGGGGTGAATGTTAGCTTTTGGTTCAGCACAACGCAAAGGACTGAATTAACTTACGCAAGTCCCATGGGAGGGGGACCGTTTGTAACCGACGGACCGATGATAGTGATCTCAGGGTGCGAGGAGGCGATGGGGTTCATGTATTCCTTCCAGGCCTTGCATGCGGCGTCAGGGCCAAGGTTGGCTTGCTCGCCGTGATCGGGCTCGTTGAAACCCATGACAGCCTTGGAGCCCTTCTTGACAGCCTTCTCAACGTTGGCAAGCCACTCCTGGGAGGTAGCCTTGCTGGGGCCGTGCATCATGGGGATGTAGGGTGCGCCAATGTCATTGTTC